ATATGTGAGCTCTGTCTGATATTTAACTTCTAGCCTAACACTGTAGTATTTAAAACCTGCAAAGTAAAATTTTATAATTGGTCTTCCCAAATTGAATTTTGATTCATCGCTAAAGACAACCTGGTTCCATATGTTGTAGTCAAGTGCGACAGCATTCCAAACAGAGAAAATGGTGTATGTCATTCAGAGCACATATATCTTATTGTCAAATTTTGTTATGATCTTACAATTACTTCATGAGGCATAAGATTTTATGGCAATGGGTGTATTTATTAAAATTTTGCAACTTCAAGTAGACATTTATTTTTTCACTTAAATGAACATTTACTATCTTAACAACTTGTTCTGGTAAAATTAATTCGTGAAATATAATACATTTAAAAAAATTTATTATAGTGAAAGAGCTTCAGTACCGTTGGAAGTGCATCCGAAGGTCATACATCAGGTACAAGAAGACCTTGACAACAAGAAGCGGTGATGGTGCTGCATCAAAAATAAGAAAATTTCCACTTGCTGAGCAGATGGCCTTTTTAGAGGATACTATCAGACATAGGCGGTAAATTCTGTTTTACGTATTGTAACTACTATAACACAAGCCTGTTAAAAATGTAGAAATTATGTAATTTAATGAATTGTTTTTGATATTAAGTTGTGAATATAACATAATTCCACTTAGGAAAACTAAGTGGAATTATTGAGGATTTTTTATTAATGTACAATATATTATCAGTACATTAAAAAAAAGCATATTTTAAATGATTAAGATTTATTTTTAGTAATGCAAACTAGATACTAGGTATAAAACTAATTTTGAAAAATGTGTAATATTTTTTTATTTTTTGAATGTAATAAAACCAAAAATGACATTTTAATTAAGAAATTGATGTTCATAATCCGGAATTCTAGATGTCTAGTATTAACTTAGAAAATGAAAATGTAGATTTTGAAGGCCATTGTAAAACTGATAATTATCTCGCAGTGACGAGAATAATACATAGATAAGAAACTTAAATCATGATATTGCAACTTCAGTATACAGATCCTCCTAGAACAGAATAGAAATAAACTTGATACTCAAAGATTTCTTTAATGTATTTATTAATAATTCCTATTAAAAATCTCATAGTGTGTAAGCCTTAGTTAAACTATTATTCAGGATTTATTAAATATATTCATTAATAAATAAGCAGTTATTTAACAAGGTTTCACTAAATCTTCATGTATATTAGAATTTTTAAATTCTGTGTGTAGTGGCAATTTTTTTATTTTAATATTGTGTATTATTTTATTTTTCTAACGTAGCACTCGTTTCAATGTAAAACCAGCAGTGGATGGGCCTAGTTGCAGCAATGCATCACTGCTTCCTGTTGCTGAGGAAGAGATTCTTTCGTCACAGGACCTATTTGATAACGAGGATGTCAATCATCTGGATGTGTCCTGTGACGAAGATCATCAAAATGAAACTTTGGAAACTCCAAAAGTATTGAAACGAAAGGGTCAAAATTTTCAAGAGCAAATTTTGAAATTGATGAAGAGAAATAGCGATATGATGGCCAAAGAAGTCTGTGATGATGACATGCATTTTTTAATGAGTTTTCATAACAAATTGAGAAATATGGATGAAAATTTAAAAGCAAAAGTTAAGCTCAGGATCATGCACGCTGTGTATGATTTTCAATTTATTATGAAAATTCTTTAAAAAATGCATGTTTGTAAATATTTCTTTGTATATTTTTTACTTGTAAATATCTCTTTATTTATTTTTATTGTAATTACTTGTAAATATTTTTATTGTATATTTTTATTTATTTATTTTTAAAATAAATTTATTGAAAAAGATGAAAATATGGTATTGCTATTTGCTTTAAGTGCTGATTTTCTTTTCAAACAAACTTTATAAATTCATTTTATTAAAACATCAAATTGGTATCATGAATTGTTGGCTTCGTGCAGTTTTGACCATAAAAATATTAACATTAAAATTAATTTCACTTTAAGAACAATAATCAGTTTAATTACATAGGCTTCGTATAAGTAGTTAAAAAGATTAATCTTTTGAGAAAATGCTCTTGCGAAGTTCAAAAAGGAAAAAAATGCAGTGATGTATCCTTAAATCAACAGTCACAGTTCTAGACAGTTTTGGTCTCCTGCTGATCTTTGTTTCTGGTTTTGAATTATGTTATCTATCATAGGAATTTATTTTTGATAAAAATGAATAACATGCACAATTCATTGCACAGTGTATAATTTAATGAATAACACAGCATTTATTATTTATTATCCACAGAAATTTTGATGCGTTAAATTCTTGTCATTTCTCTAGTAAATGAAAAAAGTGCATAATGATTGTTAAGATTTGTAGAACATATTGAGGAAAAGCCTTTTTGAATTATTATTAAATCCAAGTAAGAAGATGTCTCGTGTTACAAAGGTTGAGTGAAGTTTACAGAAATTAAGAAAAGTAATACCATTGTTTACTTTGTACTGTATTCGAATGTAACCCCGCTTTTTTTACTTCCTTGTACGAAGTAAAAAGGAAGTATTGTTATCGCAAAAAGTTTCAAACAGCAAACATATTTCAATGAAAATATCCATTTTGACCTCTTCGAATGCAAATTTAACGATGCATTTGCGTGATATCTGTACATAAGGACAGAATAAAAGACTCTTTTCCTCCAAAACTTATAAAACTGCTTTAAAATGAATTCTGAAGAGGATTTTTCCTGGTGTCTGTACGAACGTATCTTGCATAACTCAAAAACGAGTAGCCTCAGAACATTGAAATTTTGTATACAGGACTGCTATAACATGTAGATGTGCACCTCGTATTTTGGTTGCAATCGGCCGCACCAAACATATATAAATATATTGATATATATATCCACTCTGTTACCCGGCTCAGTGATCTCAGTTTCTTTACTCTTATATGGTTGTAAATTGTACATTTTTTGCTTTAAAAATGATTGAATTATGTTGTTCTTATCTTCCGGTTAAAGTTTTTATGCCTTTAGTAAATCTGTATGCAATATTTTTAGAATTATCAACAATTTCGAAGTTGTTTAAGTGTCGCTAAGCCTAATAATCTTTTTTTGATGGCGGCCATTGCTTGTTTACATTTGAAACAACAGAGTAGTGGATTTGCTGCCAATCTAGAGAAACGTAGCTCGCAACAACAAAGATAACGCCTTCATTTATTATTGCGAATTAAATCATGCTTAATCCTTTCTGGAATTTTTTCGAGGAAATAAGTGTTTAAGATTTACTTTGTAATTTTTAATACAGATGTTTTGAGTTTTTATGTATTTTTGTTTTTTTTTTGTTGCAAAGTGAGAACTGAATTAATTGAATGAGAAATACTCAATCGTCTGTGAAAAACTGTTTCTTTTTTGTTTTGCTTGCTTAATTTCTTTTATATATTGTTCTAACTTTATTATAGTATGTGAATAGAACATGTGGCAACGAGATAATTCTTTACATGATATAAATTTTGTGCATTCTGAGTTATAATATGAACGAAATATAATACTGTTAAGTGAACCTAGAACCAGAGTGTAGCTATGGTAAACAAATAAAGTGAATTTTAAAGAAAGCATTTATTCTATTGCGGTTTATGCGCTGTTGGCGAAGTAGGTGTAATTCAATCCAATAAGTTTAAATGAAATGCAAGAAAAAATGCGTATAATTTAATATTCCGTACAAGGAAGTCATGTGGTGTAAACATCAGATTTTTCCAGAAAAAGCATATGGAATTCAGGAGTGCGGCTTACACATGAAAATGATTAGAAATAAGATGCATACAAACAGCTGGAAACACAGCAAAATGTATTTGGTGATTGAGTATAAAATCCATTGTTGGGAGAATGTTTCATAGAACTGTACAAGTTTAGTTGTGGTTGCAGGTCATGGTGACCAGTTGTGGGATACTAGTACTAGCGATAATGATACTGGTAGTGCATGTTCCTTTTGATTGGAAAAAGAAAAATAATTAATGTATGGTAAGTACTGTTTTCCGCTAACTGCTTTCACACCTGCAAAATGGAAAAAATGTTGTATACAGGCTATCTGTCATTTATCCTCAGGAATTTCTTTTTTTTTTTAAATTAGGCTTATTTAGAATATGGTATTTCTCCTAAAAGAAATTATATATAAAAAATTGAAGAAGGTTGTATATATATATGCATGTGCATGTTTATAGTTTAGAGAGTAGTACTACAGTGCAATGCAGAAATATTCCATACTGCTTTGCACAGAAATATGCTGTTCTATACTTATTTCAATATTGCATTCTATAAGTTTGATTCAAAAATGCCATTGCAGATATTTAGTGTATTCCTATAACAATAAGGCTATTGTCAAAGTATGTTTCTGAGTTGTCATTAAAAAAAAGGTATGCCTTGTACTTTCTTAATGTAATTATTTTGTTTGAATATAAAATAGCAGTGTTTCCTAGTGACCTTGCGGTAACTACTTCCACTCGTTTTTTTGTTTAGAGAGAGAATCGCCATGAGCCCTATAACTCTCTATAAAAAATTAGATATACTTTCCTTGCCAGGGAACAGAACCTTCGTTTGCGAAGTACTCGGCATAATTATCTCTGATATTTTTGGCGAGACTTGTGGAGTTGTTTGAAGATTGTTGTGAAACAGATTTCAAACTTTCACTACATCTCCAGAGCCCATCCTGGACCTCTCCGTTCAACAAAGGGTAGTCACCGTACATTTTGGGACAATATAGTTTGTTACCATTCTGAATTCCATCTTTAATTAAAAAGTTGTGGAGGCAACAACAGGCATTTACAACTGTCTCACTGTTTTCTGGAGTTAAAAGAAGTGGTTTTCTTAAAACCTGCCAGTGAGATGACAGTATGCCAAATGCATTTTCGATGCATCTTCTTGATCGAGAGAGTCTGTAGTTATAAATTTTCTCTGAGCATGATAAATTACTCCTGGTCCGAGGATATGGTCTCAAAAAATGCTTTTTCAAAACCAAATGCTTCATCGCCTAAAAATACATGAGGCAAAACTCTTGCACTTTTAGGCAACTTTTTATCATGTGGCAGATTCAGCATATTTTGATCCACTGCTCGTCCCAGGAAAGAATTAGAAAAAACCCCTGCATCGCTGATGCGTCCAAAATTACCTAAAAAGAAACGTACAAAATTTTTATTAAAGTCGTATATGTAATTTTTTAAATAAAATATTTTGGGTACAACATTATTACTATAATCTATGAGAATTATTATACCTATATCTACAAATACAAAACAGTAATTTGCGTCACAAGATGCCATCAACACTATGCTGTTGAATTTTTTGTAGTTCGTATATGTCGAACCTGCCAATGCAGGAGCTTTTATTTCAACATGTTTTCCTGAAAGAAAGAGAAAAAAAAAGATAAGGGGAAGGAACAGGGCAATTACACGTGAATTAACACGTTGACTGCCACAGGAAAGTCAGGTAAAATACTCCGTTAGACTTTTTAATTATGTTTTCTTGTCCCCTTTAACTTAAAATCAGTTCTATACTTAGTCTAAATATTTAATAAATTATTAAATAAATAATAATAATTAGTTTACAATGTAATTCACCATAAAGCAGCACAAGAATTCATCGTCTTGATAGTAGAAATTAGTAAAATTAAACAAATAGTGAAACACCATATATAACCAAAAATGAATAACCTAGTGAATGTATAAACATCTTAAAATGTTCAAAATTTCTCATATTCGTTAAATAAACACTACAATCCCTTTAATTACAACATTGTTGTCTTACTTCGACATAAATAATAATTACTTAAAAGATATTGCAGCAAAATATGTATTAAAATTGTAATAATTCATAGAAAAGTTTCCAGAAACCAAGAATATAAAGCAACTTTGTAAGGCCATTGCAGTAATTTTAGTCCTGTAAATCTGTGTGTTTGTGAAGCACCAGTGACTTATATGGCTCCAAACAATAAAAAACCTGTGAATCACATTCAATGTTGGCTGTGAAAAGTAAGGCCACCGTTGAATTATCACTGATGCTCCTAGCAGTCAAGGTGTTAAATAATATTTTTATAACTAGGATATTAGCATATAAAATTTAGCACTTTCATTATATATCATATTTGATACTAAGTATTTGTAATGCTTGCGGTATGAATTCGTTGGTGACGTGTATAATGTAATAGATGATTTAGAGGTAAAAGTTTTTGGATATTTTATTTATTTTATATGTGGAAATGTTCATTACTTTTTCGCGATCAGGTAATTTCATATATGTTCTTTTTACCGGGTTTAAAGATTGAGAAAATTGTCATGTATTTTCGTGAAATTTTTCTAATATGAGAAAAAAGCAGTGTACAAGGATATAGTGAAGAGTGTGCGCAATGCCATTTTTGTGCAATTCTGGGATTTTTTTGAAGTAAAAATAAGTCGGCGTGTACATGGTTTATGTGTATGTGTTATTTTGAAAAACGCGTAAGGAGTATGGTATTGTGCACTTTTTCCCAATTTTGCAGTGAATATTTGTCATGATTAAGCAGTTTTGTTAGATAAAATTTCTAGCATAAGTGTAATTCGGCTAGTAGATTGTTGGAAGAAGTGTTCAGTAGATAAAAAGAAAAGAAACATGTCTTTACTTCGTGAAGACAAAATGGCGGCGGAAAAAAAAAAATAGAGGGTTGCTGTAGGAGAGTTGGTCGCCTAATTTTATTTTCGCCAAAAAAACGCCAAGTTACCATAATGTAAAGATCAACCGAATTTAGTTATTCTACACTTTGCTTCTTATAATAATGAATAAATGTAGGAAAACCAAGATAAAACATAAATAGCTTGAGGTCATAATGTGTAAATAGATAAATAAGATATGTACACATATATTCAAAAGAATAAATAATAAAGTTAAATTTAATTTAAATAATTCTCTTGTGCCATTGCTGCAAGGAATGAAATTTGAATTTAACAAACATTCTCTATTCATAAAAAGAAAATTTAAATTTAACTAAATTTTAAAAAATGAAGTAATGCAAAGAAATAAATGATTAATTATTGCTGCGAACTAATCTAGACTATCATTTAAATTCTGAGAGCATATATAAATCAAGTGCAAGTATCGAAATCCATGAATAAATATATAATTCCAAATTAAAGCCTAAAAAATTTATAAAAATGCATAAGTGAATAATTCTTGAGCAGGCAGGAGACAGACTTATTGAGGGGAAGTTACCTTATGGCTTGCCTTTTAAATATATATTTTAAAAAAATACTTGCATTTGACTAAGTTACATATATAACAAAATTATTTACCTTAAGCATACAGAAAGCTTCTCAGATGGTGTCAGAGGTTTCCTCATGCAAGTGTTTTTTTTTTTTTTTTTTTTTGGTCATTTTCTCACTCACAAGAGACAATAAATAATCATACTGTTTAACCTATGAAACAGAAAAAAATTATTAAATACAGCTATTAATTAAGCAAATAATTAATTAAAATAAAAAATAAGAATAATTGTTTTAACTTTAAATACTTACCGACATACGAGTGAAATTGAAGAACAAATCTTCGTTTCCATTTCTGAGTTTCGGAAGAAGCTCGTTGTGCCAACCAAGTATTGGCCTCTCCAAAAAAATATCTCTCGACCATTTCGTTTTTTACCTTCTTCCGTTGCCTCTTGGCTAATGAGAAGGGCAGATAAAAGATCATTCTGTTGAGCCAGTAAAACTTTGTGGGGAGCTGAAAAAGCCATGGCACAACGAAAAAAACAAGCAGAGCGAACGCGGGAAATCAATCGAGCGGGAAAGTTGTAGACATTGCACGCATGCGCAAATTTAGCTTCTCTCATTGGCCACGTCTTACACCTCGTTCTCGCAAGTGTGAACAGAACTCCCGGTCTCCCGTATTTGATTATGACTTCTTATGACTAGCGCTTAACGCCCTATGCGCTTTATGCTGACTCGACCTGAGATCGAGAGATCGGCCTGAGAGAAGTGCCCTGTGTGAAGTGGGGTTCCGATGCCCATTGAAGTGGATCAGTGGAACACTTACTGGGTACGTCGTGAACGTGGTAATGAGGCCCATTACAATGGCAAGTCACTTTGCTGGTTCCGTGAGTGGTACACACGTTTTAGGAACATGCGAGCCTCCGCAGTTGACACATACCCAATCTCTGGTGCAAAGCAGGGAGCTGTGAAAAAAAATGATTCATGTATATAACATTGGGGGGGGGTCGTTTTTTTTTTTCTTTGAGTGATTCAATCTGAACACTGAGGTAGCCAATTCTTTTTACTTGATGCATAGCCTTATTTGCATCAGTTTTTTTTTTCAAGATGTATAAGAAAAAGGGGCATTGGTCTATTTGCACGTCGGTTTCTGTGAAGAGTGATGTATTTGACGTCGAATCCTTTATCTTTTAAGTCTTGGGTGATGTCCACTGGATTAATTGTAGTAGGGAGGCCTCCGATAACAATTTTGAGGACGTTTTCCTCTGGAAGTTGATAGGTGTGTTTTTTTAGATTAATGTCCGTTACAACTTAACGCACGTTTCTGCGTCTGGTGTGTAGTATATTTGCTTTTATCTGTCCTATAATTTACTTGCCAGTTTGTATATTTATATTCTGTATGAATTCGTCAGGTTGTATTATATCATCGATCACTATGGGAGGAACTCGTATTTGATTTGATTTTGCTTCATTATCATTATTCTTATTTGTTTTATATTTCTGAGGTTGACTTTTATCGGCGGTTGTTTCTTTATTCTTTGCATCGTGAGTGATATCTTCTTTCTCAACCGTATGCTCGATTTTCATTATGTCATTGGTCTAGTCTGGACACCGGTCGAGATCGATATTGGAAAACCAGTCGGGATTCTCTTTCCACTCGACAGCAGAAGGGAGAGCGAGTCTGGCCCCTTCAAATTCCGTCGGTGGAAAGTGAAGTGGAAATTCCGTACGGAAGTGACGTTTATTGCATAGCCAACCAGTCTATCTCACCTCTACATTGCTCCAGGCTCAGGGGAAGGGGGTAGTTTGTTGTCAAACGGGCTGTTTCGCACGTGCTTATTACTGAGGATGGCGGTAGAAAAAAAAAATCGAGTTCGAGTAAATGGTGAAATTTTTCGAAAAAATACGCTGCTGGATTTAGTAAAGAGTATGGAAAAAAGAAATGGGGAACATTAATGGATATTTTAAACGCAGAAAGAAATGGCCTTTTCAAAACTTCAGGTATGTGAAGAAAGGTAAACATAATTTTACGTATGATCTTTTGCAAAATGGAAATTTTCTAAAATGTTACATGTTCGTAAACTATTTGTTAACAGGAATTTTATGTTTAAAATACATTATTTTGTCTGAAAAGGTTATGCAACAACGTCATAAGTCAAATCATTGAAATATAGCACTGCGAATGCGTGTTTAATATTCCTAATGAATTTGAATAAAACAAAATTTTAATTTTTAGCAATCCATGATTATATCAATAATTTTATTTATTCAGGAATTATACCTATCACACAGCTACAAATATACTATGTATCGTAGATACCAATAAGCAGTGAGTAAAAACATAACAAACTTTTAACAAAAGTAATAGGAAGTAAAATTAAATAACTATAGGTTAAATTGTAAAACATATTATCTTGCACACACACACACACACACACACATATATATATGTATGTATTTTAACATATGCAGTGAAAGGAAATTGCAATACATATTCCTATTTATACCCTTTTTAAATCGATCCAACCAGTGACCGTGTGGTAAAATCGCCGAACACTGGTAGTTTGGTTCGAGGTCCAAATACTGCGAACGGGTATGTTGCATTACCAACATATCTCTGATAACCAATATATCTGTCATTACCAACATATTTCTCGTAAATTCCAAAAGCATAAAAAAATTAAGGCATACAAAACCTGTTTTAAATAAATAAATATATGTATATATAAATGCATTATAAATATATATTAATACATGCAGTGAAAGGAAATTGCGGTACATATTCCTATTTATGCCTTTTTTAAGTCGATCCCACTAGTGGCCCAGCGGTAAAATCTCCGAACACTGGTAGTGCGGTCCGAGGTTCGAATCCCGCAAACGGGCTGGACGCATGGGCGTCATTACCAATGTATCTGTCATTACCAATGCAATGACATATATCATTGGTAACTTCCAGAAGCATGGAAGTTTAAGGCACAGAAAATCTGTTTTAGATATATATATAATATATGTAACTGTATAAATATATTAACAGATGCAGTGGAAGAAATTGCAGTACATATATATTTATACCATTTTTAAATCGATCCCACCAGCAGCCGGTAAAATCGCTGAACACTAGAAGTTCGGTCCAAGGTTGGAATCCCGCGAACGGGCTGGTTGCATGGACGTTTTCGTGGTTTTCCCCATGTGTTACGTGTATACGAGCTAGTTTTCCTTAGAATGTCCTCCACGAAGGCAACCCTCACTTTAGGCAGATAGCCCTCGAGGCTTTGCCGTAATTACATAAAACCAAAACTAAGCCACTTTTTAGATCTGAATAAATATACACAAAACTGATGTAATATCTAAAAGTAGACCACATTAAAAAATCTGATAACTAATTACAAATCTTGCATTATAATATTGGCAAGAATTTAACCGAAAATTATACAGGAATTGAACTTGTTTTATACAGGAGATTCTAGAAACTATTGGAAATTGACATTGATATCGGTACAGTTAAAACTACTTAAATAATTTTTTTTACTCAAAGCAATTTAATGTAAATGTTGAATTTAGGATGTGCATAGTTTGAATTATATACTGCGTATTCTTTAATGCATGTCTAATGTATTACATTTTTATACACTACAAATTCAAATAAAAGTAGAGGAAAATACATTATAATTTAAAACATAAAATTGCAAAATTTATAAATTACTCATCAAAACATGAAATGAAGGACATTGATATATACATTAGTTTAAAAATTACAATTTTAAATTAAA